GCCTGGCCTAGGGAGGATTTTTAAACTGGGTTTTTTAGAAATTTTAATTATCACAACACAAAAATTTTGGTTTTAATTTGGTTTTATTCGGTGGGGTGTGTGGGTCTTTCTTTGTTTTAATAATGTTGTGAGCCGCCCTGAGTCCTTCGGGAGAAGGGCGGGATATAAATTGAAATAATAAATAAATAAATAAATAAATGTCAGGAAAAAAAACTGTTATGAAGAATTCATTCCCTGCTTCTTGAAGTGTACATTTCCATTGGCTGTAGAAAAAAGGAGGCGACGCCCATATTTAAAAAATATAGAAAATATTTCACAACATTTTCCAAGGCAATGTGATAAACAGGGCCATTTCTGTGATTTTTCTCACCAAAGTTTTGATTACTAATTTAGAGTGGTGCAAAAAAAGATAAATTATGGACTCCCGATCCAAAATAACCAAGATCTGAAGTAGAGGAGCAAGGATGAGAAGAGTTATATTGCTAAGGGATTAATTGCCTGAAGAGGAAAACTCTGAAAATGCAACATCATTTCCAGGCTTCATCCAACATTGTGTGAATGCCTTGTTCGCTGCATGAGAGTCTTGCCCATCTGCTCCGGAGATTCCTCCAAATATTTGAATTAAATCTGGGGAGTATGCAGAGGTCAAAGAGGGAAGAATATTCTGTTCTGCTGATGGATGCCACAATGCAATGTTTGAAAGCGCTGGGATTTACTCTTGTTTAATAAGCACTTGTTCAGTGACTGTTTAAACCAGGGGTAGTCAACCTTGGCTCTTTTATGACTCGTGGACTTCAACTCCCAGAATTCCTGAGCCAGCTAAGCTGGCTCAGGAATTCTGGGAATTGAAGTCCACGAGTCATAAAAGAGCCAAGGTTGACTACCCCTGGTTTAAACTTACGTTGGTGCTGAACAATGCTACTTATGACTAGTCTTTGTATTTACATCAGTTGCAGTGTCCCCACGGTCACATAATTGTGATCCAGGTGCTTGGTGCCTGGCTTGCAATTACAGGAAAAGTTAGTGGGGAAGCCATCAGAAAGTCACAAATGGCAACCACGTGATTCTTTACTTAACAACCCCTGTGATTTCACTTAACAACGGCAACTGGAAGGGTTAGAATTTCCATTGCTAAGTTGTAAAGTCATGTGGCATCGTGCTTTATCACTGCATCACTTCGCAACGGAAATTACCCTCATTATACCGGTCAAAGACCTGGGAGTACATATCGTTACAATTAGCACTTGTTTAGTCTTTTAGAACTCATCCTTTGTTTCTGGGTGCAATTTCAAGATGCTGGTTGTTCCCTACCTACACGACATACAGACAATTCCACGAGGACTGTTTTCTCCCCCCTTTTCTGGGTTCCCTGCAGCCGGACCCATCGCTTTGCCCGGAATGTATTCCAGGACAGATCTGCTGGTCCTGCGCGACTCCCCCCTCACGCAGGCCTGGCCCAGTACCATCCCAAGGGCCTGCCTCGATGAAGGGGTGTGGAGCCCCGAGAGGTGGTATGCAGCAGATAGGAAAAAAATGAAATTAAGGGCTTTTTTAGAGGGGTGTTTTAATAAATTTTTAGGGGGTATGGGGGTGGTTAGGGGAGGCAGGGGGGATGTCTCCCTGAGGCCAAGGCCGGCCATGTCTGAGGGACGCGGCATTAGAATGGTGAGGGGGGAGGTTGGGGGGCTAAGAGAGGGTGGTGTGATCAGTACGGTCAGTGGGAATGGCAGATATGGCGGGAGCAGAGGACCATATCGGGTTTTGGGAGCACGCACACGCTGCTTACAAGCTTGTGGGTGCTCCGGTCCTCAGGACTCTACTCGGTCCCCAGGGATCTTAGACCCTCGGGCCCGGGATCACCGGCTGATGTTATGCAATGCCAGGTCCATGGTAAACAAGGCCCCCCTCATTCAAGAACTTATTCAAGAGGGGGGTGCGGACCTGGCAGGGATCACCGAGACCTGGCTGGGCATGGAAGGGGGTGTACCCCTCGTGGACATCTGCCCGCCGGGTTTCCAGGTATTTCATCAGCCAAGGACCCGGGGTAGGGGCGGCGGGGTAGCGGTCATTATAAGGGAGAGCCTATG